GCAGTCATAGCTTGCTGTAACCATGACTTCCTAGGCTCAAGCGATCCTTTTGCCTCAGCCTCCCAAGAAGCTATGACTGCAGGCACATGGCACCACACCTGGCTAATTAAAAAAAAAATTTTTTTTAGAGAAAGGGCCTCACTGTGTTGCCCAGGCTGGTCTCAAACTCCTGGTCTCAAGTGATCCTCTTGCCTCGGCCCTCCACAGTGCTAGAATTACAGACGTGAGCCACTATGGCTGACCCTTACAAGTTGATCTTTTAATTATAGCCATCCTCGTGGGTGTGATGTGGTGCCTTATTGTGGTTTAAACCCATGTTTCTCTAGAGACTAATGATGTTGAGCATCTTTTCATGTGCTTATTGACCATTTGTATATCTTCTTTGGAAAAATTTCTATGTAGATCCTTTGCCTATTTTTAAATAGGATTATTTTTCATTTTATTATTCAATTCTGGGAGGTGTTTATATATTTTAGATAAAAGTTCCTTATCAGGTATGTGATTTGTAAATATTTTCTCCCATTCTGGGGGTTGTCTTTTCAGTTGCCCTATGGTGTCATTTGGTACTCAAAACTTTAAAATTTTGAAAAAGTCCAGTTATTTATTTATTTCATTGCTCATGCTTTTGGTGTCACCTCTAAGAATGTATTGCCAAAGCAAAGGTCATAATGATTTAGCCCTCTGGTTTCTTTTCTTTTCTTTTTTTTTCTGTCGCCCAGGCTGGAGTGCAGTGGCCGGATCTCAGCTCACTGCAAGCTCCGCTTCCCATAGCCCTCTGTTTTCTAATAAGAGTTTTATAGTTTTAACTCTTAACGTTTAGGTCTCAGATCTGTTTTGTATTAATTTTTGTATATGGTATAAGGTAGGTGTGCAACTATATTATTTTGCAAGGGATATCCAGTTATCCCAGCATCATTGGTTGAAGAGACTGCTCTTTCCCCACTGAACTGTCTTGGCACCCTTGTTGAAATCAATTGACCAAGAGGTAAAGGTTTCTTTATGGACTCCTTATTCCCTTCCATTGATACGTTTGGTCTTCTCTTGTCATATGTCATTAACTAGCTATTTGATTTGTATATATCTTAAATACTACAGGGACTTTGTTATTATTATTATTATTACAATCTTTGGTTACCAAGGAAATGTTCATGGTAAAAAATTAAGACACAAAAGTACCAAAAGTGAAAATCCTGCCGCAGTTGCTCCTGTCCCCACTTGCAGGACCTCATCCTCTGAGTACTTTGCTAAGCAGTTTTGTAGATTTCTCCCAGAGCAGATCTGTATATGTGTCTTACGTGCATGCATGTGAAATCCAAATGCAATTCACACTTGTGGAAATGCGTATGTGGATACGCATATATTCAAATTCAGCAACATTTATATTTGTATGTCTGCATTATTTTTTACAAAATTGAGATGTACAAAAAATTCTACGACTTTTTAAACAATCAGCAGTGTATCTCGTGTGTCTTCCATGACAGTGTATATGTATTCTACCTTGTTCTTTCTTAATGGGTCCATAAAATTCCATAGGGTGTATACGCCAGGATTTCCTCAATCAGTTCTCTATCGTTGGATGTTTATGTGGTTTCCTTTTCTTTTTTCCCTATTTCCTCCAGTGTCACAGTGAGTGTCCTTCCACATGCCTCTGTGTACATGGGGGAGTACTTTTCTCAATGAGATATTCTGGAAGTGGAGTTGCTGATCATGTCTTTTGTCTTACAGTAATTTTTAATGTCTTTCCCTCAGCTGTGCTTTATGATGCCTTGCACATATTAGGCACTTAATAAATATTTACTAAAGTGAATGCTTAAGGATTTTTATCCTGGATTGATCCCCAGCTTGCTATTTCATTTTAGTAAACTGTTTTATGGCACCCTTAGGCCTATTTCACATCCTCTAAAATGAATGAGAGTTTTGGTTATCCAGTCTTCATTAGGGGAACTGAGGTGAAATTAGTCAAGCAGTATTTTGATTATCTACTGTATGTGTGGCCCTGGAGGTGTACAGAGATAAGTGAGATGCAGGCTTAGCCCTCAAGGTATTTAAAAACCATCAGGATAGGCAGGCGGGAGAGGCAGGCGGGAGGTGTAAGTACTTCTCTGAGAAGCACATGTGTGTTGTCGGGGGGCTCAGAGGAAGGGAAGAGGTGGTACTGGCACACCTCAGAGGTGGTGCAGGCATGGCTCCAGATACCACAGTACAGCGGATGTCAAAATAAAGCAAATCATGAACTTTTTGGTTTCCTAGTTGTATGTAAGAGTTGCGTTTACACTATACTGTAGTCTCAAGTGTAGACTAACATTATGCCTAAAAAGTGTATATACCTTAATTAGAAATACTTTATTGGCAAAATATGCTAATGATCATCTGAGCCTTTAGCGAGTCATAATCTTTTTGCTAGTGGGGGGTCTTGCCTACGTGTTGATGGCTGCTGACTGATCTGTATGGTGGTTGCCGAAGGTGGGGTTGACTGTGGAGGTTTTACACAATAAGACAACAATGAGTTTGCCATGTCGATCAGCTCTTCCTCTCACAAAAGATTCCTCTGTAGCATACGATGCTATTTGATAGCATTTAACCCACAGTGGAACTCCTTTCACAACTGGAGTCAGTTCTCTAAAACCCTGCTGCTCAGCTCTGTCAACTAAGTTTGTGATCCTATTCTAAATCCTTTGTTGTCATTTCAACAGTGTTCGCAGCATCTTCACCAGGAGCAGATTCCATCTCAAGAAACCACTTTCTTTCCTCATCCATAAGAAGCAACTCCTCATCTGTTCAAATTTGATCATGGGATTGCAGCAATTCAGTCACATCCTCAGGCTCCGCTTCTAATTCTACTTTTCTTGCTGTTTCCACAACATCTGCAGTGACTTCTCCATTGAAGTCTTGAACCCCTCAGAGTCATCCATGAGGGTTGGAATCTACTTCTTTTAAACTCCTATTAATATTGATTTTTTGACCTCTTCCCATGAATCAGGAATGTTCTTAATGGCATCAGAATGGTGAGTACTTTCCTCAGAGTTCTCAATTTACTTTTCCCAGGTCCATCAGAGGAGTCACTATCTATGGCAGCTCTAAGCTTATGAAATGAATTTCTTAAATAATAAGACTTGAAAGTCATAATTACTCCTTGATTCATGGGCTGCAGAATGGATGCTGTGTTAGGAGGCATGAAAACAACATTCATCTTGTACGTCTCCATCAGAGCTTTTGGGTGACGAGGTGCATTGTCAATGAACAGTAATATTTTGAATTGATTCTTTTTTCCTGAGCAGTAGGTCTCAACAGTGGGCTTAAAGTATTCAGTAAAGCATGTTGTAAACAGATGTTCTGTCATCTAGACTCTGTTGTTCCATTTCTAGAGCACTGGCAGAGTAGGTTGAGTGTCATTCTTAAAGGCCCTAAAGTTTTCAGAATGCTAAATGAGCGTTGGCTTCCATTTAAAGTCACCAGCTGCATTAGCCCCTAAAAAGAGAGTCAGCCTGTCCTTTGAAGGTTTGAAGCCAGGCATTGATTTCTCCTCTCTAGCTATGAAAGTCTTAGATGGCATCTTTTCCCAGTAAAAGACTGTTCTGTTTAGTATCGCCACCTTCATCAATGATCTTACCTAGATCTTCTGCATAACTTGCTGCAGCTTCTCCATTAGCACTTGCTGCTTCACCTTGCACTTTTATGTTATGGAGACGCCGTCTTTACTTAAGTCTTGTGAACTAACCTCAGCTCACTTCAGTCTTTTCTTCTACACCTTCCTCACCTCTGTCTTGACTGAATTGAAAAGAGATAGAGCCTTAGGCTCAATTAGGCTTTTGCTTAAGGGAGTACTGTGGCTGGTTTGATCTTCTATCTAGACCACTAAAACTTTCTCCATGTCAGCAGTGAGTCCGTTTCACTTTCTTACCATTCATATGTTCACAGGAGTAGCATGTGTAACTTCTTTCAACAACTTTTCCTTTGCATTCACAACTTGGCTAACTGTTAGGTGCAACAGGCCTAGCTCTCGGCCTGTCTTAGCTTTCGACATATCTTCCTCATTAAGCTTAATCATTTGTAGCTTTTGATTTAAAGTGAGAGATATGTGACTCTTCCTTTCATTTGAACACTTAGAGGCCATTGCAGGATTGTTAATTGGCCTAATTTTGTTGTGTCTCAGGGGATAGGGAGGCCCAAGGAGAGGGAGAGAGATGAGGGTGGGGGAATGGCTGGTCGCTGGAGCAGTCAGAACACAACAGCATTTATTGGTTAAGTTCGCCATCTTACATGGACAATGTTCTCAGTGTCCCAAAACAATTACAGGAATAACATGAAACATCACTGATCACAGATCACCATAACAAATACAGTAACAATGAAAAAGCTTCAAGTATCGTGAGAATTATCAAAACATGACACAGAGACACAAAGTACATGCTGTTGGAAAGACAGCACCAGTAGACTTGCCTGATGCAGGCTTGCCACAAACCTTCAACTTGTAAAAAAAAAAAAAAATGTGTTATCTGCAAAGTGGAATAAAGAGAAATGCGATGGACAGAGGTACTTGTGCTTCATTTGGATGCTGTTGAGGGGCAGCCTTCCCTGGAGAAGGGGACATTGAGATACCTCCAAAGAAAGGATATGATTTGGACAGGTGGAGATGTCCCAGAGAGGGAGGTGGCGGGAGGTGGTTCAGAGGGAAGAGCATGCCTGAATTCAGAGGAGGTGAGAAAAGTGGTACATCAGGTTCCCCTGAGGACTGGGTGTGTGGAGGGGAGTGGTGGGGGTGAAGCTGCAAAGCCAGCAGGGGGCATACATTGGTAGGCTTGGGAGTCCAGATGGGCTCGGCGTGGACCTGGTAGGCACTGGGCCACCACGAGAGGAGTTTTAGTAGAATTGCTTTGTTGGAGTTGGTCTTGAGGAAGCAGCGCATTCAGTTAATTCTGGGACCTGAATAAAGAGGAGGCTTTGCTTCCAGACACTTCTGTGACATAACTTTTTCTTGTCCCTCCTTTCTGCTTCCTTAGCTGTCTGAAAACGTGGTGAACCGCATGAAGGAGCCCAGCTCTCCACCCCCTGCTCCTGCACCTTCTACCTTGGGCCTTCAAGATGGCAACTTGAGAGCCCCTCACAAAGGTATGGGGGTTGTGACAGTTCTGTGGAGTGTGGAGAGACAGTGAAAGGAGTGATGGGTGCTCACCCGAGCCCACCCGACGGCGCGTGGAGCTCAGGTTGGCTTTGGGATGATGTTAAGCAGCTCTGTCTGGTAAGGGCTTTCCGGAAGAGCATGGCTTTCTGGGAGTGACAAGCGCTGTCGTCAGAGCTGCCAGGATTCGGGACAGACCACCTTCCCTCTGTGTCACTTTCTCCATGTGGGAATTGAGGCAGAAGGACCTGAGTTGACAGCTCAGGAAAGAAGTTGCCTTTAAGGGCCCTCAGAGGCAGCATAGCCATGACGCAGCTTCAGCCACTCTAGCCTAACTCCCAAATCAAAGAATGATGTGGATTCACGTGAATGGGACCAAATGTGGGAGAATTCCATCAGTGACTTAGGCGCCTGCCACAGCAGCCCTCACCTGAGCCTCAGGTTGAGCGCTCCTGTCTTGGCCCTTGGAATGGTTCCTCTGGGCTTCTAGGACCTAGGAGTTCCTCTTCCTGGCCGACTGTGAAGCTGGTGCTCAAGCCAAGCTGAAAGCTGATTTGTTCCCTACTCTATTGTACCTGTTGCAGATGAAGAAATTTGTGCTTTCCCCAATTAACAACTTGTAGCAAACACGAGGAAATAAAATTTTAAGAAAAAAATTTGTAAGGCATACAAATGTTAAAATATTACAAAATAAAGTCCTTGGAGCAACTGCTCAAAACATACTTGTTTTTGAGAACTTGGGTCTGTCTACCAGACTCAGTAACCCGATTAAAAAAAAAAAGATTGGCTGGAGGCACCATGCCACCACGGAAGGACCGACTGTTTACATGGAGAACCACGCACTAGATTGTTCGTCTCGGGCCTGGTCTCGCGTTACAGTTGCCTTTTCTACTCATCTTCCCTGTTGGGTTGTAAGAGTTTAGAAGATGAGAGCTGTATCCTGCCCACTTAGTGTTTACTGAAGGCCACCCAGAACCAGGTCCTGTGCCCTGTGCCAGGACACAGTGATAGGTGGGCAGGGACCCTCTCTCATGGCACAGCTGGCTCTGGTTATAGAGCCAGATGTCAGCCCTGATGTCAGCCAGATGTCAGCCCAGATGTCGTGTTGTGATGCAACACTGGAATCTGTCCCGGGAGAGGAGGGACTGTGAAAGGCAGGAGGAATGGTGGTGGGTGGGCACTGCGGGTGGGCAGACAGCGGGAGCAGAGGTCCGGAGGCAGGGTGAATCCCAGCCTGCTCAGGGGCCTAGAAGCATTGCTGTCTCTGGAATACAAGGTACAAGGGAGGGGGAGATGTTGGAGTGGCACTTGGGAGCCAGGCCATGGAGACCTCCCCATGGTGGCCAGAGAACTCTGGCTTCATCTTCAAGGGGATGCCTGCCAGGTGTCCCGACACCTCCACCCCTGTGCTATCTGCCTGGGAGCCAGTGAGCACCTAGATTTGGACCCACCCCAAGATCTTTCTGAATATCTACCACTGAAGGGGATGTGTAAGATTCCCGAAAACCCCCCAAGAAGCCCTTCTCCTTTGCCAATAGGGCTCACGTACTCCCTACGCGGCTCTAACTGATGAGAAGGGCTTGAGAGGGGTCTAACTTGACCCAATGCACTTTAACAAACTGGATTAACTCGAAAGAGGGAGAAAGTGATGATAAAAGTGAAAATTGCCATAATATATAATACTACACATCAGTTTCAGCTTTAGAAGAAATAAGCATTTGCTTCAGTTTGGTAAGTTTTGGCAGTTTGGAAAGCAAGAATAGTAGTTCTTTGTCACTTGGAGTTAGTTATAACAAAATACTTTGCTGTTTAAATGATAGATGTGAGTTTTGTTTCTGAATGTTGAAGAGTCAAAATGACTGTCTTGAAGTTAACTAATTTTAAGATATTTTGTACTTTTAAAACCAGTTTTTGCTTTATTTTAGTAATGGAACGAAGTTAGAAAAAGAAGTTAAAATTCTTCTCATACCATACCCCCCAAAAATGTCAGAGGAAATAAAAGATTGAAATGTATGGCTTGAAGCCATAAAAGTACAATAAAAGATAGATTTTCTGCACATCATATTAAATGAAGAAACCTTAAATTAAAAAAATAGGAAATGTGAATATAAGAAATGAGAGAGTTTAGAAAAGAAGTAACAGGAATGGATAAGTTAGAGAAAATATAACATTGGACAGAGTCATAGTAATCTTAATATGTAGCGAGTTCTTAAAGATCTTTAAGAAAGACAGCTCAGTAGGAAATGTGCACAGGTGGCCATGCTCATGACAAGATCTCCATGTCACTAATACTGGAAGAAACACATATTCAACACTGTGCACTCCCAGGGAGCGGGGATCGGGCAGGGGCACACAGAAGGGGCAGTGAGGATGAGTGCCACATGCCCTACATCGGCAGGCCTGTTATTTTTGTAGTTAAAAAATGGAAAATTATATAAAAAACAACAATACCAGGCATTAAACCTCAGTAAAACTCTTCAGGCAAATAAGTAAGCGTGGGAGCACTGGTGTGGAGATGAAACCCCACAGCAGCCTCCTGCATTCACCTCAGTTGAGAACCTGGTGTGTTGCTGAGGAGCATGGGAAGTGCTCTCCTCCCATGAGAGGTGGTTTGAAAGTGTGAGTCACAGCTGACGCTTTCAGAAGTGCCCCCGAGGTGTCCCTGATGGGTCTGGAGTTGGAGTCGCACACCTTTATTGAGCACCTCCCACAGCCTGGTTCTTACGCTATGTTCTGTGTGGTTCTGGCTGCTGGTGCATAGAACCCTGTGGTGGAGGGAGGTGTGGGACATCGGAGAAGGCCAAGAAAGGTGGTGAGCTTTGGCTGACAGAGAGCTTTGGAAGGGTGAAGGCTGGGGACGGCGTAGTAACAAAACCTTCAGTATCAGCAAGTGGTGGGGAGAGTGAATTAGATTTGCTCAGAAATCCCCAAATCCGTGATGATCAAAAGGGACCTACTGTAACAACAGAAAGAGCCCAATAATACTAGGGGCGATAGGGGTTAAGTAGAACTAGGTTTAATATGTGGCATTTGCCACACTGGGGATTGTGCAGACTCAGGTGGGTACTAAGGGAAACAAGATTTAAAGAGCCCCCACCCCTTCCCTTCCCTATGCCAAAACCTCTACCTGGGAGGTTGTCCTCATGAAGCAAAGCAATGACTTCGTGCAGCCACTCCTGGCCTGTGCTTAGGAGATGACCTGGATTCCAAATAATTGTCAGGAGGGTAGGGATGGGTTTGGAACACTGCACCCAGTGTTGTGGGCATCCTGGTGCAGAGACCCCTTCGGGATAAGAGGTGGCTTGGATCATCTGGCTTTCCAGACAGCTTGAATCAAGGGTGTTCCTTGAATGCCCCTGCGAACACTCCTTTGTGGGGGCTCATCTGTAGTGCTGCCTTCCCAGGGGCACATTCATTCATGGGGGTCCTTCCTCTCTGGGTGACCTCCGTGCCTTCATGGACCCTGGGGAGCCACTGACAGGCCTTTTCTTCTCTTTCCTTTGCAGAATCCACACTGCCCAGATTGGGGAGCAGTGGTGGCCAGCAGATCTCAGGGGCAAAGGAGGATGTCAAGAGGTGAGCCCGAGAGCCTGCTTGCTCCCGGCACTGCGCTCCACCTAAAAGCCTGTTTCCTCACTGGATACCCCTCTCCTTGCCTGAAGCCCTGGAGGGTTTGTCTCACATAATTAATCTCAGTTGCATTGAAGGACAACCCTATGGTATAGGTGTCACTGGTTCTAGTTTAAAGATGTAGAAACACCAAAAGGGGCATAGGGGAATTGATCATTAATGTTCCTCATGCCCAGCAGTTTGAGAGGCCAAGGCAGGAGGATTGCTTGAGGCCAGGAGTTTGAGACCAGCCTGGGCAACATAGCAAGACCCTGTTTCTAAAAGATAAAAAAACTAGCTGGGTGTTGTGGTGTGTGCCTGTGTAGTCCCAGTTATTTGGGAGGCTGAGGTGGAAGAATCACTTGAGTCCAGGAAGCCGAGGCTGCAGGGAGCAATGATTGCACCACTGAACTCCAGCCTGGGTGACCCTGTCTCTGGAAAAAAAAAAAAAAAGCATTTAAAAAAGCTATAACTAAACAGTTGAGTGGCTGGAACTTCTGCATGTGTGTGCACATGCAGGCATGTTTTCGAAGAGATGAGGAGGTGGAGCCCTCCCAGTGCTAGCTGTGGTTGTCCAGATGAACTGGCTCCAGGATGTTGGTGATTTTGTCAGCACAGGCCACAACACCAGGACCTGGCCACGCCTCTGACATGGGGCCTGTTGCCAGAGAAGTTTTAGCAAAGTGGTTAAGGCACAGAGGCCCCAGTGGAGCACAGGGTGGCATCTTGATCCTGCAACTTGCTAGTTATGTGAACTTGAAAAAGCACTGCATCTAAGAAGAGTACTTCTTTAACTGGGCTCCTGTCATGGTTAAATATGTTACTGTATATCATGCACATGAGCATAGTACCTGTCCTACAGAGTTCTCAGTGGACCCTCACAGTAGTTGTTACTGATTGGCCTCTTCAGCATCCTTGAGGCAATTGCCCTCAGTATGGTCAGAGGACCCAGTGGGTCAGCTTAGGGGGCCCAGTGTCAGCCATGGTTGGGCGTTTGCCTTCTAGTAGTTCAGCCATGTTGGGTCTGTTGCATAGTCATAGGTTAAGACCCACATTCTAAGATTCACTCTCCCTAATAGGTCTCAGCAAGAATAACTGACCTGGCCAGGTGTGGTGGCTCAATCCTATAATCCCAGCGAATTTAGGAGGCTAAAGCAGGAGGATTGCTTGAAGTCAGGAGTTTGAGCCCAGCCTGAGCAACATAGTGAGACCCTGTCTCTACAAAAAAAATTAAAAACATTAACTGGGGGTAACACACGTCTGTAGTCTCAGCTGCTCAAGAGGCTGAGGTGGGAAGATTGCTTGAGCCCAGAAGTTGGAGTTTACAGTGAGTTATGATTGCACTACTACACTCCAGCCTGGGCCACATTATGAGACCCAAAACCAAAAAAAAAAAAAAAGAAAAAAAGCCAACTACTAACCTGAACCCCGCTTTTTTGGTACTTTTAAACATTTTCAAAATGGTAAAGTAATACATGCTAATGAAAGATTTAAAAATTTATCAAGTGAAAAAATCACCCGTAGACTCATCATCTCAAGACAACCACTATTAATATTTTGGAGTATTTCATGTTCTTCTCCACCCAGAATCCCCTACCCACTGTTTAGGGTTATTTTTTGAAAGTCATAGATAATTTCATATCTTGCTATTTTCACTTCGTATTATAATGATTTGTCATTAGTTTCACCTGCTTTATAAGCAGTTTTATTACTAAAAGCATTTATTGGTTCTCAGTTTTTAGATTCAACCTATAGACAAATGAAAGACTATATTTTCTAGTGGTGATGTCATAGATCATTATATGATCACACCATATTTACTTTAGCTTGACCTTGATTTTGGGACATTTAGGTTGCTTGCATTTTTTTCACTATAATAAATAATACTGTTAAGAGCATCTCAGCACTAATAACTTTTTTCTTCTCTATAGGATTATTTTACTAGGCAGAATGCCCAGAAATAGGTCAAAGGGTAGGAACATATTCAGAATGAAGAGTTAAATGTTCAAAACAGAGGACTACTACCATCTCCAATCTTCAAGCTCTCAAGTGGAGGCAATCCGTGGATTGAGCCCCTCCCTGAGACTCTCACTGGGCATGGGGCTGCCTACTTGGCCAGGTCTCCTCCTGTTCCTGAGCTGTGTTGTCCTGGCTCAGTGTCATTGTCTCCCCTTGTCTGGGGAGCTGTCAGTGATGCCTGAGCTCAGGCGTGGAATGATGGGGCGTGTGGTTTTACAGCACTCTCTCCTTTCCTGGCCGGCCGCTGGCTGGTTTCAGCGTTTCCCTGGGAGCTGAAGTGAGTGCGCAGACCTTGTCTTGGCTATTGGCTGCCCGTCATGTCATCTGCATCTGTTTCTCCTTATCTTTCTTCTGCACAGGTGTGAACAGGAGCATGCTGCTGTCCAGGATAAGCTCTTCCAGGTGGCAAAGACGGAAAGAGAGGCTGCCACCAAGCACTCCAAGGCATCCGTGCCCGTGGGTGAAGGCAGCATCAGCCATGAGGAGCAGAAGTCAGTCCGGCTGGTGAGTGCAGATTTTCCCTGAACTAGCCTTCTGAGCTGGGCAGCACCTGGGGAAAGAGGGGGTGGGCCCTGGCACCTGGTTAGTCTGAAGCCCTGCTGGCTCAGGCTGCCCCTGGAATGTGCTTGGCTTCACCTCTGTGGAAAAGGGTCTTTTGGGAGCCAGGAACTTGGGTTCTCCCAGCCCTGGCTCTGTCAGTGATTTGCTTTGCTGCCTTTGGCATGTTTTTTCAGTCTCTGTGGCCTCAGGTCTATACAGTAAGGGACTAGATCACTTGACAGTCTCATTCAGCTCTGAAACTTCACAGATGTCAGGGCTGCAGTGGTATGTGTTTCGGGAGGGTGTGAGGAGAGAGGACTAGAGGCCTGGAGCCATGTAATATATGACAGGGAGGGCATCATCTTTAGAGTTAGGTAGGCTGGGTGCAAATCCTAGACACCCTGTCTGTGAGCCTTGCTCGAAGATCATGATGCTCACACACAGGACTGCCCAGGGAATCAGAGGAGATAGTATTTGTCCAGGACTTAGCACATGCCAGCAGACTGTGGGAGTGCACTATTGTTATTGTCATTAATACATTTAAGTGATGGGTGGCTATTAGGATATTTTTGCTTAAGTGCAGCATTTATTTTGCAACATGAGAAGTCTCAAAGTGCCCCCAGGGTTGACTAATTCAGTGGCTCACTAGCATCATCATAGACGTGGTGCTTCTCTTCCTGCCACTCTGCCATCCACAGTGTGCCAGTGCATCCTAGGGAGGCTGTCCCCATGGTTAATGAAGGCTGTTACTGCCCCACAAGTCCCATGCAGATGGTAAAACCCTCAGTAGAAGAAGAGAGGCTATGCCGGCCCTTATGTCTCTATCACAAGGATAACTTTCCTAGAAGCTCCTGGCAGAATTCCTGTTACATCACATTGACTTGAATTGTACCAGGTGCCCATGGCTAAGCCAGTCCTCAGCAGAGGGGATACAGAGGGCTCCACTGGCTGCAGCTAGGGCTCTTTTCTAGTCACATTAGGGAGGTTGCGCATCCAGCCAGAATTAGAACTGACAGCAAGGAAGTTGGGGGAGGGAAGCATGGCTGTGGGTGGCATCTAATAACATCTGCTGGAGGTTTGAGACGAGGAACAGCCTTGCCCTACTTTAGGTGGGTAGCCTGGTACACACGGTGTGACCTAGAAGGGGGTTGAACATGATGTGAGAGCATCATTTGGGATTGTGCTCTCCTGGGAGGGGAAGGCAGACATGCTGGCTGGGCACAGGCCTTAGCTTACTAATTTGATGACTACACAAATGTTTGAAGTGTGCAGTGGGCACATAAATGCACGTTGAACCAGGCCCTCTGGGAAATACAAACAATGTAGGATCCTAGCCCTCAGGAAGTTTTAGTCTGTGGAGAAGACAAGCACTGACTTGTGCTTTGAAAAAGGCCAGTTTGGTTACAGTAGTTGTTAAATTGAGGAAAAGATTTGGAAATGCAAATGTGTAAGCTGCTGGTGGATCAGAGCTGGTAGATCAGAGAGGGCATTTAACCTCAGCCTTAAAGGATGAGGGGCAGCTGGGCTGAGACAGGCGGGTGTTGAGGAGGTGATCAGATCCAGTGAGAAGAGTGAGGTTTGAAGCCAGATTTTAGAAGGCCTTGGATGTGCTGAGAAGTTAACCCTCAAAGTAGCCCACAGTGATCCTGAAACAGTCAGTGGTTGCTGAAGTTTGTAAGGATGGGAGTGATCTGACTTGTGCTTTTAGAACCCCGTGGCATCCTGGTGAGGAATCAGTTGATACAGTGAGAAACTGGGGCCAGGGCATGCCTTCAGAGGCTCTTAGAGTCAGTCTCTGAGAGGCAGATCGGTTGTTACTCCTCTGCAGGTAGCCTGACAACCAAGTTAGAAGGACCCCTATCCTGGAGATGAAGGGTTAATCAGTATGGCATGAGCAGGAAAAGTTGGCCACCTCTAGAGATGGAAGATCACAACTTACAGGTCTGCTGTCTCTTCGTTCTCACCTGGAATGTATTAATTACAGTGAAAGAGGATTCATGGCTTCCCATTCTTCCTCCTGCAAAGGAGGTTGAGCGCCGCTTTCTCAGGACTGTCCCTTGGGGAAGAATTTGATTCCCCGCCCCACCCCAGGTCTCTAGATGACTAATAATCTCCTTTTCTGAGCCAGAATTCTTAGGGAATTGTGACGTAAGTTACTTCCTTAATTTTAAAAACATTTAACTGCTTTCATGGGCATTCTCATTTTCTGAATGCTCAGCATTCATTTCTCCATGCAACTGGTGTTCCAGTTTCCTTCTGGGAGTGTTCCTGTTTCCTGCTGTGTGTAGACTTGGTGGGACTGTAATTCCTCCATGGAAGCTGAATCTGGGCACAGTGCAAGCTCAGCCAGCTTGCACCTCATGCCTGAGGACCTTCAGTTCTGAGTGAGTACAGAGGAATGATGGGAGGCCAGGATGGGAGTTCCTCGTTGTCTCCCAGGTGTTGCGATCAGCCCCTTCATGCTATGAGGTTGTATCTTTTGCCGTCTTCTACACTTTCAGTGTACCATTGGTTTCTGTCTGGTCCTCCTGCCTTCTTGAGGTTTGGATCGTCCACTGATGACCTGCCAATTAACTCTCCTTTGCTTAAGTTAGGTGGAGTTGGCTTCTACTGCTTGATGCTCTTGGAAATGCATCTCCTATAGGAGGTGCTACAGAAGATGATGTTGAAGGTGTACAATCATATTCAGTACTCAGTACAAAGGAGGAGAAGGGAAGATGGTGCTTGGCATTGTTCCATAAGTTAACAGAGACCCAAGGCAGTCAACTAAATGCTGAGCAGATGCTATGACCATCGCTTCTAAAGAAGGGGGCTCCCTTTTGGTTGGTATGGTTGGGCAGTGCTTTTAGTGGAGGTAAAACTATATTTTCAAAACTATATTCTGGAAGATTTAAATAAGAGGAGAAAGACGGAGAGAAGAACCTTACAAAAGCAGGGAAATTCTTCTTTCCTCTCCTGAGTTGTCCACATGGAAAGATTGAAGGAGGTGGCTGGTTGGCAGCCTGCTGTGTGGGGTGCTGAAGGGCCTGGTGGTGTGGCAGTGTGTGGATCACAGCACATCCTCCTAGCCCTCCGGGAGGGTTGGACCCTGAGATGGATCTTGCACGGTTGCTGGCAGAATGAGTTGTCTGCCCATTCTTCCTAGGTGCCTTCTCCACTACCCCTACTGTAGTCCTCCCTGTGAACCTGTAGCCTTATCTAGAGGATTTCCTGTTGTACTGAGTGCCACTTAACATGTAGTGTGCTCTTCCACACTGTTCACTTGCCTCTGACTTTTTCCAATATTGATTTTAAAATCCTCTTCTGCATAAGGGATTGGTCCAGCTTATTACTGGGAAAAGTTCACAAAACTAATGACAAGGAAAGGTAATAATTTTTCTGACCTACTTCTGATGACAGAAGTGTTTCCCTTTCCCATCTAGTGCAGCAGTGATGAACTGTTCTGTGCGTGTCGATGCATGTTTGCTGTCACTGGTGGTGTCCTGGTTCTGGTCTGAGTGAAGGCCATGGGTGTCACTGGATCCTGTGAGAGGTGTTTCTCCCTCTGAGTTGATGAAGAAGCTAGGAGTCCAAATCAAACATTCTGGGAAGAAATAAAAAGAACAATGCTGTTGATCTGAGTCTTCTGATGGGTGGAGCCTTAAAAATCCAATGGATGGAGTAATCAAGTCCTGGCTGAGGCTTTATTTTAGGTGAGAATGAGATTTACAACCTTGCCTGTTGCATTTCTGGCACATATTATTAGTTGTATAAGAATACAGTACACCTGATAGAAAGCAAAAACTTTCTTGGCTGGGCACGCTGGCTCACGCCTGTAATCTCAGCACTTTGGGAGGCTGAGGTGGGTGGATCACTTGAGGTCAGGAGTTCGAGACTAGCCTGACCAACACGGTGAAACCCCATCTCTAGTAAAAATACAAAGTTAGCTGGGCCTGGTGGCGCATGCCTGTAATCCCAGCTACTTGGGAGGCTGAGGCAGGAGAATCACTTGAACCCGGGAGGTGGAGGTTGCAGTGAGCTGAATCGCACCATTGCACTCCAGCCTGGGCGAAAGAGCGAGACTCTGTCTAAAGAAAAAAAAAAAAACTAGAAAGTAAAAACTTTCTTTTTTTTGTTGCTGAGCAATTCTTTTATTATTTTATGATGTGTGAGTATATATATATATATATAAATATACACACAAATGCACACACACATACTCTGTATTCCTGTTATATGTTAGGCACTGGGTTAATTTCCTAATAAATGGAAATAAGAGACAGCTTCTGACCTTGAGAAGATGTGTTTATTAGGAGAATTAAAATTCCCAGAATTGACCACATAGTGTTGCAAGGGTCATCCCAGAAGGACAGGAAGACACTCGAGGAGCAAGGAGGCAGTACCACCTGACACTCCCTGGTAGGATGGGAATGAATTCTAAGAGGAGGTGACATGTGAGCTGGATCTTGAAGAATGAATAGAACTTGCCAGGTGGAGAGGAGGG